AAAAAGAAAGGACATTCTGACATATGCTATAACGAGACCGAGACAATACGTTAAGTGAAATAAACAAGTCACAAAAAGACAAGTCACTATATGATTCCACTTATATGAGGTGTTCAGTCAAAATCATAGAGACAGAAAGCAGAATGGTGGTTGCCAGGGTGACGGGAGAATGAAGAGTTAAGAGTTTCATTCTGGAAAATGAAAAAATTCTGAAATGGATGGTGGTGATGGTTGCACAGCAATGTGAATGTAATACCTAAACATGGTGAGCTTTATCTTATGTCTATACCACAATAAAAACAAAAGTTTGTCCAGTTGTAAGCGTATGATGTGGTGCCACAGTACTTAAGTCTGCTATTCTTGGGGTAGGAAGTTACTTTAAAAAGGTACTTTGCTCAAATTTACATTTGTGTTTGTTTTAGAAGAGCTTTACATTTATATTTAGAAAAGCATCTTTTTTTTACTAGATCATGAGTCATGCAAACACTCTGGAAAGCTGTGCTATGTTTATCTCAGGACATCAGTGATGCCCCAGAACAAGGCTGGGGGTGGTGGGGGGAAGTTCTTGGGTCCAAGTTCAAGAAGGCAATATAAAGAAATTGAGCAAATTAAGCTGTTCACAAGTCACTGACAAAAGCGATCTTCTCTTTAAGCATATGCTTTATAGGAAAGCAGCATTCTTTTCTCAGAAGATACTCAAGCATTATGTTGGTGACATGAAGGAGGACGTATGGGAGCTGTTGCCGTGGAAACGGCTACAGGGCCACCAGTGTCTCCTTGCCTGACAGAGACTCTGACCATGAAAAAACTAAAAAGAAAATGTACCCCCATGTGCATATAATATATTATAATGTTCAAGTGAAGGCATCAAAAAGGCCTGGGCATGAAGAACTTATTGGCTGTGATTCTAATCACATCCTCATTACCTGCTGGGTTAGTTCTCATTCAACACCCGTGTTTGCCACACACACTTATCTGGGTATATTGTTTCCGCCACGGGAAGCACAAAAGGAGTGTTTAAAACTCTGGACAGAAGTCTTATCTAAACTGTCACCATTATGCTTCATCACCCTCGAGTAAGTGCCTGTTCTGCAAGGGTAACGCTGGTGCCTGAAGACTTCACGATGCCAGAGGCGGGGGCAGGCTCGCTGGCACACCTGGCTGGCACGCGCATGCTCCCACAGGAGGACGGCTGAATGACTAGCAGGAGAAGGTCTGAAGACTCGCTTCAAGCTAGGCCTGGTAGAGACTTAGAAGGTAAGGAGCGCATTGCTGTGGACCTGTCTCTCCAGGCATCGGCCTGGTTCTCCCTTTGCACACAGTTGCTAGTCTTGCTGGTTCAATGGCCACTCCATCTGAGGCCTGGTGGGCCCAGGGTCCAGAGTGCAGGGGGTGTGTGTGACGCAGCCATGCAGACTGACCACAGCGCCCCCTCCAGGGGGAAATGAACAAGAGTCATTACAAGCTGTTCTGAACCCCAGCAGGCCCAGGAGAGGGAAACCATACCTCCTAAAGCTCCCAAAACGATAAAAAGGAGAAAGCAATGGCAGCTGCTGATGGGGAATCACCAAGGAATTCTGCCCCCACAGGGACAGCCTGTTAGCTGAAGGGGAAGAGAACTCACGGCTGCCAGAGGACAGTGTGGTTAAAGGCTAATGCTTGGCCCTTTTGAGTTCCTATGCTTGAATAATGGGATTGGAGCGACCGGTTTCTCTGTCTCTAACTGGCTGTTTTGTGGAAGGTCTGTTCATTCGATGTCTATTTCAGGGTCATGAACGTGAGAGCAGAAAATCTAGGAGTCAAGAAATAAGAGATTCCATTTTTCCCACACAGCCAGCCAAGGAAGAAGAATTCCAATGCATGAGTTTCATTAATAAGATGTGAAAATGACCTTGACACCACCCCTTTCCAAAGCAAATAAACACTAGGAGTGAGAATGCTAAAAGTAAAAAGTTCTGGCGTTCTGTATCCTCATCAGACAATGGTAGAAAAAACAAAGTTGCCCATAAATGAAGGACTTCAGAGGGGAGCTTTTTCTCTGCCATCGAGTTTAGCAGCTTCCAACTAAGGATACCAGCTGCCAAATACTTGGGCAATGATCAGTGAGGGGTAATTGTTCTCAATGAGATTTCTTTCTGGGGCCTTTGTCTCTTCCAGGAATTCCAACTACAGTCATTTCACTCACCCTGCTTTCAGAACTAGGAGCCAGAGAACGGGGACGGCTGATGGTTCCTAGTTCAGAGAGGGCCACCCTGAGTTCACGAGAGGTGAGTCGCTTTCATACAGTTTTACAATGATGGGGAAATACGCCCAGGCTTCCTGACTCTGCAGCTGACTTCTTTCCAAATGGCCAATCATTAAATATTTACACTGGGATTTCTCATAGCAGGTGCATAGGAAGGGATAAGCCCGGGATGAAGCCAGGGCCAAGATGAACGGTTCAGAGAACAGCTGATATTCCATGAGCAGCACTGAAAAACAGAACCACCACTGCCCAGGAATCAGGAGGCTGGGTCACGTCTGCCAGTCGCCAGCCGGGCCATCTGGACAGCTTATCTGTTTGGCCAGTTTACTCAACTACAAAATGAATTCAGTAAAACCCACCTCACTCTTTAGTGGGAAACTGTAAGAATCAGATAACATGGTGGATAGAAAAGTGGTTTGAAAATAATAACATACAATATGAACCTAAGTCATAAAACTCAGCAGAACTCAGATCAACCGTAAAAAGACATTTGGGAGAAAACTGGAATATGGACTGGGTATTAGATGATACCAAAGGATTATTGTTAATTTTCTGAAGTGTATTGATGGCATAATGGTTGTTTAATATTTTTAGAGATCACACTGAAATCTGTAGGGATGGAATGATTTTATGTCTGAGGTTTACTTTAAAACACTTCAGTGAAAGAGAAATAGTAAGGGGATATTTGAAGCAAGTGTGGCAAAACATGGAGACCTTGCTGAAGCTGTGTGAGAAGTGTATGGGGGCCTTCTGCCTGCTAGTGTGCGTATTTGAAATTTTTCAGAATAAAAATAAATTTTAAATAAACAATGCAGAACTTTCTAGGACCCTAGAAAACTTCACTAATGATCACCTCCAGGGCAGAGAAAATCTGTCTCACTCACAAGACCCTTGCACACTGGTCATCCAGCAGTCGGAGGACAAGGACTTGGGAAAAGGCCAGGAGAGGCCAGGCAAGGAGCCCAGCTGTAAAGGAGCTAGATGGAAACTTCTTCACAAAACCTCTCGTCTGCTGTGCAACAAAATATCAGCCAACCTGTAATGTCAAGTTGACGCTTTATCTTCAGACCTGAGTTTCCTATTCAGCTCTGTCACTTCATGGCTAGCGACCATAGACCAAGTCACTTTTTAACACAGTCACAAACAGATGCACGCGCATGCGCACGCATGCACCACTTAGAATTCCCTTGGGCCCCAAGAGCCACCAGAGGCCCAGGACGTCCACGCACTTTGCTATGGGTTTGATGGTCATTCCAGGGACAGATACTAGGGACGAGAGAGGGGAACAGGACAAGGAGGGTGGGAGGTGAATAGTTTAGCTAAGGGAGGGTCCCGGGAGTCAGTCGTTCATCTGGGAACTGACCAGGGAAAGGAACCCTTCGTCTTCGTCCCAAGCCCCATTCTTGACGATGAGGTACATAATACACCATAAATAACTAAGTAATTCCACCAAGGGTGACACATGGCCTTTTGGGGTTCCCGGTCAAACAGGCTAGCGGTAGGGTAGGAGCGAGGCCTGAATTAAAGGTACAGCCTTGAGCTTCAGCACGTTTTTCCTTCTGCCAAAAGAAACGACTGGCCTGATTCTAAACTCTCCGCAGTTCCAAGATTTCAGGGGACGAAATTAACTGGGGGCATGTTTCTGACTTCCACGCGTATCTCTCCTCTCTTCAGGACTTAGGTATCCTAGCCCTGAAGTTCAGTCCCCTCCCCCGCAGTGCTTCGCAGCGTCCCCTCACCCCACCCCCGCTGGGTTTTGGGGTGGCAGATGACTGAGAGAAAGGAATCTCTCTTGTTTCTTCTAATCATTTCTATTCCGGCGCTGATTTACAGCGACACCGCAGGCAAGCAGCTCTTCCAGATTGGGGTGGGGGCGAGGGGCGGAGGCAGCGGAAGCGCTGTGTCTAAAGCGCCTGCGTAAAAGTTGCGAGCGCCGAGGACTAGGGGACCCTCCGCACAAGACCAGGATTAACCCCGAGGCGACGCTGCACGTACGTTCCGTGGATTCGCTAGTGCTGGCTCCTTCCTACCCCAGGGCCTCCCGGTAGTAACAGCGGGAGAGGTTTCCTGGTACCCGGACGAGCCAGTAATGAATACTGGGGCGCAGACCGCACCTCTCCACCCACAGGGCTCAGGGCGCTCCCGCGCTCAGCCTTTCCGGCAGGCTGGGGAGAAAATTCCAGGCAGTGGGCGCTACAGCTCCCAGGCGCAGCTCTAGCCCCGTGCCCCATCTACCCCCCCACCCCGGCCAGCCCCATGTGCTTCACATCCCCAAAGCCACAGCTCCGGGCACACCCCAGTGCGTCCCCGTCCCCTGCGCGCTCCACATCCTCAAAAGCCAGAACTCTGGGCACCAGCGCAGTCCCCAGTGGCCCCCACGCGGCACCCTCCTAGGCACCTAGCGCGCAATGAATCTCGACGGGCTCTGTCCGGCCCAGTCACAGGCGCCGCTGGAGAGCAACGAACCGAGCGCCCTGCTCCCGCGGGCGCGCCAGCTGTGTGGGCTCCCCGGGTTCAGGCGAGGTGGGGCTGGGTGGGTCCACCCGAGTCTGGAGGAGGACCCGTCAGAATGCACGTCCTCGCGTCTCTGAGCAAGGAGCTTTTGCTCTGTGTGCCCGCCGCTCGGGTTCCGAGAACCCCAAGCACCGCTAAGAGGCGGCCCGGCGAGGAGGGGGGGCCCGGAGACCCCCGCCCGGACACCCCCGCTTTCCCGCGAACCGCCGTGGGGAGGGCGAGGCGCAGGCAGGGCACTTACTTGGCCGCAGGGGTGCGAACTGGCTCGGCCGGAGCCAGGTTTTCCACGGTGGCCCCTCTCTGCGCCGGTCTCTGCGGAGCCCCTTTCCCGAGCAGAGGGGACGTGCCGACTTCTCCGGAGAAAGCGAGCGAGCTCCAACTTTAGGAAGCCGCGGGCTGGAGTCGCTCCTTAACTCTTTTCCCGGTACTTTTAAGCCGCGTCGACGGCAAACCCCTCCCCAGACCCTCCCCCTTCCCTGAAGGCGGCCCCCGCAGCAGGCCCGGCCTCCTGCCCCTTTGTTGTAACCCGAGAGCGGCCGCTCCCGCGGACGGGGGGGGCTCTGCGGGGGAGGCCGCGCGCCCCCGGGACAGCCCTTCCCAGGCTCTCCTCGCCCAGGTTTCCGGAGCCTGAGAACCCGGGAGCGGGCTTTTCCTCTGGGAGATTCCTCTACACTACCCCCCCCACCCCCCGCAGAGCTCGCGGAATTTAACCCTTCGGTGTCCTTATCCACCAGCATTAGGGTCTGTGCCTAATCAATCTCCCTATTCAGAGAGCCCAGCGATCCCTGCTGGCATGTAGTAGGCGCTCAGTAAAACCTGATGAATGAAAGCGGTCAGAAACTTTCATCCGGCTTGCCCGGGTTTCTCCTCTGTGGGGAAGGCTGTTTCGGAAGGTGAATACAGACGGCCCCCTTTCTTCCAGAAGATCACGTCTACAGCCTCACCCAAGCCTCTCCCTCCTCTGAGAATCAGTTTTCTCCTTTGTAAATTAAAGACTTTGGGTTCAGTGATCTCTAAGGTCCTTCCCCCCCCGTGGCAGGGCCAGGATTAGCAAGCCCTGCGCTCAGGGGCCTGAAAGGGACGTAGCTAAGGGTGCATATTGTGCAGAAGGACATTCCACACCTGGCTCTGAGCTCACACTGGGGACCAAGTGAGGGGTCATGAGGGCTGGGAGAGCCCTCCAAGGCGATTCCCAGGGCTCCTTAAGCAAGAGAAAGGTTTGGACAGGCAGGAAGCAGCCAGCTGTAAAACAAGGCACCCGTCTGTGGGCCTCTGTGCAGGCTGAACCCCGAAGGGGTCTGTCAGCAGATTCAGTCTGTGTCATTAAGGTGATGATTCTCCCTCTCGTCTCCTTCCTCAATCTTCTCCTCCTGCTCCGCTCCCTCCCAAGCAAACCGACAGCTCCAGCCCTGACAGGCGGTGACTCCCAATCCCAGAGTCCAGCTCAGACTTCTCTCCTCACCTTTTGGATCTGTAAATCAAGTGATCCCTAGCCACAGCTTCAGCCACAGCTCACCTAGCAAGCCACAAACTTAGCACCCTAACTCAGAGCCCATCCCAACCCGGGTGAGCTCTCTTCAGCCCTCCTTACCCTCCACACTGAATCACCCCCCTGGTCTGGCAAGCAGTGGAGGAGAAGGAACAGGAGGGAGGTGGGTGTGGATCTAAAAGGGCAATAGGGGTTCCTGTGCTGTTGAAACTATTCAATATCTTGACCGTGGTGGTGGGTAAAAGACGCTACTCAGGTGGTAAAGCCGTATGAACTTAACATACACAAGCACACACACACACACACACACACACACACACACTACAGACACACAAAATACAAGTAACACTGAGGAAATCTGAATAAGATCGGTGGATTGTATCAGTGTCAGTATTCTGGTTGTGATTTTTGTCTTATAGTTTTGCAAAATGTCACCAGTAGGGGAAACTGGGCAAACTGAAGGCTATCTACGTATAATTTCTTACGACTGCATGTGAATCTACAGTTATCTCAATTAAAATTTCAACTGAAAAAGAAAAAGCCCACAGTAACTCCAAGGCCCTTGGGATGCAGCCTGAAACCCTTTATACAGGTGATGGAGCCTCCCCAAGGCCATTTCCAGCTAGCCTATCTCCCCCATGTCCTCTGCCTGTTTCAAATCTTAGGGCCTTTGCACATGCCTTTCCCTTGCCTGTCTGCCCAGCAACGCTTAGTTCTTTGCCATCTCACTCAGCTGTTACAGTCAACACCCTGCACACAGAAGATGCTCAATAAATGCCAGTGGGACGGGGCTCTCTCCTTTTCCCTCACCCTTTTCTCTGATTCCTCCTCTGCTAGTCCTATCCTTCCTGTTACAGCATTAACCAATAAGGTATAAAATGAACAGTAACTAACCTTGTAAATAATGTTTTGTCTGACTATGAAAAAAAGCAAGCTTTTGGTGGAACATTCAGAAAATACAAAAAAAGTATAATGAAGAATCTTGTCACCCTGATGTCCTGTCACTCACAGATAAACAACATTTTGGACTATTTCCTTCATATTTTTAAGACTAAATTATAGATGTGTTTTTTATATTCAGCTTTTTTTTAAAGTAAATTATTTAGTGTGCATTTTTCAATGTCTTTTTTAATGTTTTTCGACTATTCCAGGTTCTATGCTATCATTTCTCTACAGTTAGACATTAAGTTGTTTACCACTTGTTACTAGTATAAATTACGCCAGGACAATTATGCTTAAGAAAGTAATATTTCTTCAATAGCTACTGTGTGGTGCCTGCTAATTGTTGTAGATGAGGGAGCCAAGGCTCAGAGAGGCTAGGTGACTTCCCCAGAGTCACAGAGCTGATAAGTGATCAAACTGGGATCACTAACAGGTGCCTGACCCCTCCTGCAAGTTCTAAGCAGCGGCACACTGGAGGCCTCAGTAAATCCACCTGTTCCCCCCGCATCCCCCACTCCCAAGGGAAAATGAGGATTTGAAGCTTGCACAGAGTAGTTCATGGATGCACTTTTGTTGAACTGAACCAAAGTCGTGGGAGACCACTTCAGGAAGACAGTAGACTCTTTTTCTAGATGAAACAATATGACGGCCATATGCTTCCTGTCTCTAAGTCCATCCATGCCACCCCCATCTCGCAGGCTCTGTGTGGAGCCACACCACGGATTCAGAGCTCGCCTCTGCAGTCAGAGGATCTGGGATCCAATCATGACTCCACCACTTACTGCTCTGGACGGGTTACTCCTTTGCCTCAGCCTGCCTCATCTGTAGGAAACACTCTCTTACTCAAAATCTCCTAGAGAAAGAAAAGGGCTAAATGCACAGAGGACACAGAACTGTCCCTGCTGGGTGGCACTGAAGCGTGAGTAGCTGTTTGGCAAGCGCTCCTGCAGGGAGGAGGACCGGGCACCGCTGCAGACCCCCTGTGTGTGCTGAGCTCGGGGCCCCACGAGGCAGGGCCCTCTGCCCACCCCCCACCCCCCGAGGCCACGGTTCCCAAGACGTGGGGATCAGTCCTTGGCTCTTGAGCTCTGTTGCCTAATCACCTTCCTAACGGTCTGCACAGGTCCCGTGGAGGAAGCACAGCCTGAGACTCGGCGGAGGCCCCGCTGATGTGCTGGCCAATGAAACATGGGAGTCAGGCGGTGGCTAGTGCTGCGGACAAAACCCAAGCTGAGTAAGGAGGGGAGAAGGAGGGAGGTGAGGGAAGCACGCATGCTCTTTCAGCCGCAGGGAATGGGGGGCGGGGAGGCCAGGAAGGGCCAACCTGCAAGGTGGCACAGGCAGAGGCCCAGAGGAGGCAACCAGGAGCCGGAGCCGCCGTGTGGACTCTTGGAGTGGAGGATCCGCTTTCCTCCTGACTCCACAGCACTTAATTTGCATCATTCCTGCGCTGTGTATCACTTCTTTTTCATGTTCCAGTTATTTGTATGTTCCGTTTATGCCTCTTCTAGGACTGTTATGAGCTCCTTGTGCGCAAAAACCATGAGCCCGTGACCCTTAACCTCTGTGGTCGGCAGCACATATCACAAGCCATCAGTGTTTGTTGAAGTGAATCAGATGGAACCAAAAAGTTTCCCTTGAAAAGTTTTACTTGGAATACAAAAGGGCATGATTAAAATAGGTATCATTTTTAGTGGAAATTATTAATGAGTACCCATACTGATGAGAATGGAGAAACCAGTCATTTACTTCCATGGAACTCAAGAAGAGGCTCCAACCTGCCTATTTGTTAAGTCAAAGGGGGAACCAACAGCCAACCAGGCAAACATTGGTCCAGCCCTTTGGAACAGTGATTTGGAATGTCTGTCAAGGGGCCAGGCTGTGGGTCTGGATCTGGCCCTGGAGAACCGGACTGTAGTTCAAGGAGTCAGGTTGGTCAAATATTTCCCCTGTTCCGGGGGTGCTTTACTGGCCAGGTGTCTAGCAGGCCCTGCTAGCTGGCTTTCTCTGACTCAGAAATCTGTAGGGTTCAATCATAAACACTTTTATTTTATTTTTTTTAAATGAAGATATGATTGATTTACAGTATTATAAAACTTTCAGGTGTACAACATGGTGAATCATAATTTTTAAAGGTTAGACTCCATTTATAGTTAGTGTGAAATACTGGCTATCTTCCCTGTGCTGTACAACATATCCTTGTAGCTCATTTATTTTATACCTAGTCATTTGTATGTCTTGATCCCCTACCCTCTCTCATCCCTTTCCCCTCCCTCTCCCCACTGGTAACCACTAGCTTGCTCTCTATATCTGAGTCTGTTTCTTTTTTGTTATATTCACTAGTTTGTTTTATTTTTTAGATTCCACATATAAGTGATATCATACAGTATTTGTTTTTCTTTGACTTACGTCACTAAGCATAATACCTTTTAAGTCCAACCATGTTGTTGCAAATGGCAACATTTTCATTCTGTTTTACGGCTAAGTAGTATTCCATTGTATATATACACACCACATCTTCTTTATCCATTCATCTGTTGATACACACTTAGGTTGTTTCCTAACCTAATGCTGTAAATAATGCTGCTGTGAATATTGAGGTGCATGTATCTTTTTGAATAAGTGTTTTTGTTTTCTTCAGATATTTACCCAGGAGTGGAATTGCTGGATCACATGGTAGATCTATTTTTAGTTTTTTGAGGAACCTCCATACTGTTTGCACAGTGGCTGCATCAATTTCCACTCCCACCGACAGTGTACAAGGGCACCCTTTTCTCCACATCCTTGCCAACATTTGTTGTTTGTGTACTTTTTGATGATAGCCATTGTGACAGGTATGAGGTGATATTTCATTGTGGTTTCAATTTGTATTTCTCTGATGATTAGTGATGTTGAGCATCTTCTCATGTGCCTGTTGGCCATCTGTATGTCTTCTCTAGAAAAATTTCTATTCAGGTCTTCTGACTACTTTTTCATTGGGTTGTTTGTTTTTTGATGTTGAGTTGTATGAGCTGTTTATATATTTTGAATATTAACCCCTAGTCAGTCATATCATTTGCAAATATTTTCT